TGGCGCATTCTCTCATCGCACTCACCGTATAACAGCTCAACTAAAAGATGTAACCTCTGCCTCAAAGAAAAATTCCTAATCATCTGCCGGCCCGAACTATCAACACTAAACAAACGTAATGAACTCGTGTCTTCATGCCGCCACAGAAGCAAAGCCCTCCTACGCAACAACTAAACTGTCAATTTCGCGCTGCATAAATTAGACTAGTTAGATCATGCAAATTATATTGTATATAAGCAATGGTAAAGTTTATTCTCATTAAATCCCCTGATGAGTGGGCGACCACGAAACAGGCTTGTAGGGATGAACTTGTAGTTTACTTGTCTTTTTCCTACCACAATATATACTTCGCTCTACTTCTATGTATTGAGCACTGTTCTACGAAAATCAAGTCACACTTTATATATATATATATATATATAACTAACTGCAGACAGTACTGTTTCGGCCTTCTGGGCCTCATCAGTGCAGTGCTAATGCTAGGATGGGGGAGAACCGAGACGGTCACCCCAAACGACCCAACCTTTGTGGTATCGTCTAAGCCATGCCAGAGTGCTCAAACTAGAGTAAACCAGCGAGCATGCGCAATTGCAACGGCAATGACTCATCCTAGATAGAGTGCTCAATTTGGACATGAAAGCAAAGCTTTGTATGCCAAAGAGCTATATCTATATCTATCTATATAATATAATATATATAGTATAATTATATATAATATATATATATAACTAACTGCAGACAGTACTGTTTCGGCCTTCTGGGCCTCATCAGTGCAGTGCTAATGCTAGGATGGGGGAGAACCGAGACGGTCACCCCAAACGACCCAATGATTCAGGACTTCAGTGGTAGTTCATCGTTTTACTAAGTAATAAAACGATGAACCACCTCTGAAGTCTTGAACCAGTCTGTTATAATTATCAATGCTCCTCTAAGAGTTGAGCGCTCTTCGAAATACATTCAAATCAAGTCCAAGAATATATATATATATAGATATACTTACGAGTTTTATTTTTATAGATAGTACTTTTGTAGGACCTTCACAGATATGGTCATGATATGATCCCACCACGGCTGGTCAAACACGCTGCACCTGTTATTGCTGAGCCTCTCACAAACCTTTTTAACCATTCCATTGAAAACTGCTCTTATCCTGCAAATTGGAAGATGAGCACTGTGACTCCCTTGTTCAAAAAAGACGACGAGTTTTGTAAGGTTAACTATAGGCCTGTAACTGTGCTCCCCGTTCTGAACAATATTTTTGAAAGACTTCTAGCTGGCCAGATGCATGAATTTTATCTCGAAATGCTTTCAGATTTCATTAGCACATACAGGAAGCTTCATAGTTGTGAGACCTCATTGCTAAGGCTGACGGAAGATTGGAGGATGATGCACGACAGAGGTGAGCTCGTTGCGGTGGTCTCTATGGACCTCTCCAAAGCGTTTGACGTTATTCAGTATCCACTCCTTCTTTCCACCCTCAAGGCCTACGGTATGGATGACAAGAGTGGCGCTCTACTCAGGAACTATCTCTCTGGTAGATCTCAGAGAGTTAAGATAGGCGGCACCTTCTCCGCCTGGAAAAGCGTTGAACGTTGTGTCCCCCAGGGGAGTGTGGTAGGTCCAATGCTATTTAACTTCTTTATCAACGATCTCTTGTTTTACGTCAAGGGCGCCAGGCTGAACGCTTACACCGATGATCATCAGATATACTATTCCCACGTCGACCCAGAGACAGTAGATGCATGCATATCTCACAATGTCAAGTTAGCCAATCATTGGTACCAGGAAAATGGGATGTCAGTCAACGAGAGCAAGCACCAGGGTCTCGTTCTTGGCGAAACGGACTATAGTTTTTCCTTCCCAGTAAAGGACACATTAGAGATATTCGGAATGGAAATAGATGATAAGCTCGATTTCTCTTGTCACATATCCAACAAATGCAAAAAGATCAATAATCAATTTAATGTTATGTTACGCTTTCGAAAACTGATATCGAGGGACACCTTACTTACGCTTTACAAAGCTTGAATTTTACCGCATTTTAATTATTGTTCCTCAGTTCGGCAATTTTGTGGAGCGCGGAGTACGGATAAACTAGAGGCGCTGAATAAGAGAATACTTAGATTTATACTTAGGGATTACTTGTCGCCATATGATAGCCTTCTGACTAAGGTCAACACTAGTTCCTTATGTAATGGGCGTATTCAGAATTTCTTTATTTTATTGTACAAGAGCCTGTTTTTCACTCATTTTCCAGCTTATATGAGAGGCATGTTTTCACGTCGGTCCTCTTATAATCTTCGCAGTAATTACACACTGTCACTTCGAAAACCTAGAACAACTAGTTATGGCCTTAATTCATTTTCATACTTCTCAGCTAAGCTATGGAATACACTGCCTGACCATATCCGCATGAGTGCATTTAAAGACTTTAGAAAGATAATCCAAGGCCGTATCTTTGTATAGTCGCTCCCGCTTATCTTCACTTTTCTGTTAATTTCTACTGATATGTTACATTATTATATTTCTAAATACTGTATATTTAGTATATTTTAGTATAGTTAGTATTTTAGATCTTACACAGATATATCTATGAATATCTATAATCTCCATTTTATGTTATCTCGAAGATATTAGCTCCAACAGGCTACTCTAAAATTCGAGATGAAATAAAGTTTCTGACGATAATGATGATGATGATGATGATGATGATGACAGATGAAGAGCCACGTCTTTTTTATGTGGATATGCTGTGAATAAATCTTATAGTAGTATTATAAGCTGCTTGGTTGGATCTCCGGGCCTCCTAACGACGAGCGTACATTATTTGAGAAAACCGGGGTTCAAGATAGTTACTTTGGTCTGAAAATTTTTCTCAGCAGTCTTGCTTGCATCCTTTGTAGGGACGGTTCGTTTAATGAAGTGACGGTTTCACTTATCGTAGTCATCGCATCTAACTTTGAACACACTGACCAGATCCCTTTCGAAATCAGACTAGGGAGCAATTGTCGGGGGCTTCTAAAACTCTTTGAATTAGTACTGCCGGCCTGGCGGCTGCTAGTCAGTCTTTATGTTTGCCAAGTGGAGTCAGTTCAATGAAGAAATCCATATTTTTGCAATATTTTTTTTTTCCGATGGGTCCTGCAAGGGATCATAAATGCAGCATGGTCTCCTGATCATGAAGTATATATTAACTGCCACTATGGGAGTGTCCGGTATTTCTTTTTATAAACATGACATTTTCGAAATTTCTGATCCTGACAGTATACAATACGGGTTTTACATATTATGATGCTCGCCGTAGAGTCTCTTTTGCTCAGAGTTGGAGCCGCGTTGAAGGGCAGAATCCGTAGGTCTGACGTTCGATTCCTGATTGGGACTCAGAATCTTTTTTTTTGTCCGACAATAGTCAATTTTACAGTTGTGTGCTTGGTTGCAAACCTTTTTAACTGGAGCGAGGCTAGGGGTGACCTTGTTAGGATACAAACCTTGCTGCCTTTCAAATGAAAATCACTTCTTTATCATGCTAATTAGATGCAGGAAAGTTACTTTGAGAAAAACAAGCAACATCAATGAGAAAAATTAATCGATTTAGGGAACTATAGGGAGCTTCTAACGGTTGTGTAATTCCTAAGGGAGCGGTTAATTAACAAAGAAGGATACCTTCACCCATACAGAAGCTTGAGCTTATATCAAGATTTCATCATAAGTAAATAACTGTAAAATATTTGCCATTTCGTACTCCAAGGTACGAGTTTGGTTTATATTTCTTGGCTACCCGAACAAGATCCACGACTCCGTGCTATGTGCAGGACTCGATAAGGGTTGAGTCGATGCTTGCCAAGGCGACAGTGGTGGTCCATTGGTCTGCCAATACAGCGACTAATGGCTCTTGTAAGGAGCCACTAGTTTGGTTTATATTTCTTGGCTACCCGAACATGATCCACGACTCCGTGCTATGTGCAGGACTCGATAAGGGTTGAGTCTATGGTTGCCAAGGCGACAGTGGTGTTCCATTGGTCTGCCAATACAGCGACTAATGGCTCTTGTAAGGAGCCACTAGCTGGGGTCATGGATGCGCTGGCACTTTGAAGTATGTACGCCAAAATACGCTACGTCAAGAGTTGTATCGATCAGATCATAAAGAGCAACAAAATCAAGTACTATTTGTAACAGCTCCGAAGTGATGTCTAATCAAATAAAATTTCATGGTTGATTCTGGATTCAGTTGTAGAAGTGCTATTATATGTTCAATTCGTTAACGTCTTTTACTTAAAAGGGAAAAGCTGAAAACACTTTCAGTATAATGCTTACTCATGTTTACATATGCGCCCCCACTTTCGGGTTTGTCATTAATTAGTTATTCTTACAAAACCCTTCATTAAAACAATTTTGTTTACTGTGGTCTCCTTGAGCGCTTAAAACCGAAATTATAATCTAGATATTTCTGTCGTCGAAATCTATCTTTTTCGCATATAAACATTATCAGTACAGTATGTTTTGCTTTGTTTCTTCTCTTTCACAGATGAAACAGACACATTTATTTTCAGCGGGTCTAAGCCGTTTAACGTTTGGATTACTAGTAGAAGTTCTGATAATAAATTCGAAATTAAGAATTACTTGAAACTGGATTAATTGAACATCGTAATGAAAAAGGTAACCTTAGTTTTACCGAAGTGGTATCAAGTAACCAATTACTGACAACATTTGAAATTATAAGTCGCCTAAAGACCTTTATGCATAATGTGAACCCTTTACCATATCAGACTCAGATTTTTTCCTCACAACAATGGAATTATTTTTTTCGTGACAGCATTGGTTGGTGAAAATCAAATTCAACTGGGGATTGACTGCTTAATGTGGCGCCCTCACGTCTAAGAAGGACTAAACAGCTTGTAATTGAACATGTGTCGGTGTCAGCTGTCAGTTTTCAGAACCATCAGATTACTAATTAGAAAAGACGAAATCAGACATAAATTTCATTTCTTTATTCAAGCCTGGTGAAGGGCTGTCAGGTTTGCCATTTTGTAGCACAGGATCAGTAACAAAGGAGGAGCATCCATCAAAGTAAGTCAAGATCGAAAATGAAGAAAATCTCGCTTTTTAGTTACAACGCTAAAAATCAAATGAATAAGTACTGTCGGTCTTGCCCATTTTTTCCGCTTTCGAAGACCAGCTCCGAGCAGGCAAAAACAAAGCAAACTGAGTTTTATCCAGTAAATGCAGCAGCTGTCTCTGTTCAAAAGCGTTAATTTTACACACTTACATTTCGGAGGAATGAAAACTACTTATTTGAATATTTTAGTGTAACTGGAGATCATACTAAAAGGGAACTCCTCAATTTCACCAAAGCTTTTCATCGATCAACGTTTCAGGTAAAAAAAAAAACAGCTCAATAAGGCCATACCAACTCGACAGAATAGTGAACAGGAAGAAAGTAACTGTTGTTTACTTGCTGCTCCTTGTTTCCACTGGCACGCAAAGAAAATAAATATATAACAAAAAACATTAAAATTGACACATAACTCTTGCAAGCACTTAATACTTTTTTTTTCACCTCAAGATCTTGTAAAATGGTCAGGTGCGATGGAATTATCTAGATCTCAAATAATTTGCCGCGCAAAATCGTTTTTAGAATCAGCCGCTTATCAGCGGCTTACCGCCGTTTGTTAAGATTTATTCCATGAACGAGATTTGTCTGACTTTCACAATCTCAAGTAGTCATGTATTAAGAAAGAAAAAGGAAAAAAAAAAGGGAAAAAAAGAGTGTGCACCTGAAAGCGGAGATACACGTCAAAGGGCGTTAGTGGGCAGATCTTCAAAAGCATTAACTCCTCGGCAGACATTCAATTGCTTCTGCTGTGAGAAAAGGTTCTGCATTGTCTATATTTTTAAAAGAACCTACGTGACGCAGTGTGGTACGTTTTTCTTTCTTTGTCTCAATGTTTGAGGTTTTGCAAGAATCAAACATTTTATATGCAAATGAAATCCAAGGGGTATATTCTGCCATATGTCAGCATATAATGACCGCAGATTAAACGCTCAACTCTTAGAACACGCAGTTTATCTTCCGCACACAAGTAAATACGCCTTGCATCTTCGATAGAATTGCTCAATTACTGGAGCATTCGTCGTTCACCAACAAAAGATGAATTGGTATAGCAAGTATACCAAATCGGACTTTCTAAACGCCTCAATACCTGAAACATTTTACGGTAAAATTCTCCTTAGGACTAGTATCCTTATCAAGCAACAAGCCATTTTCAAATGTATTAACCTCGGCAAGGGGTTTTTAACCCTTACCAGGAAAATAAAAAAAAGCTGGCGCTCAGTTGGACCTTGAGAGACAGATTTGACGGGAAAGGTTTGTTAGTTTGCAATCCACCTCAATCTCACATGATTCCCTGTATGGGTCATATTTCTTACTCTTTGCGCTCTTTTTGTTTACTCTGCTCTCTCTACTACCTTTTCTACCCTAACAAATGACTCCTTTTTAAGACCTCAATGAACCATATCTTTTTTTCAGCTGGCCAGATAAAATAAGAGATATTTGGTATTTTATTACATACATGCCTGTGCGTGCTAAATGAATTAATTGGAGTAGTCTCGCTTTAATACAAAGAAATCGTAAACCGTACATTTGATCCGCAATTTCTGTTAAGTCTCAATTACTTTTCATCGTACCAAAACAAACAGTGCAATTAGTCTTTGCTTAACTTTCTGGAAGGGAGAGTTTTTAGTGTAAGTGAGATCGCTGCGCACAATTGGACTCTTTCTAAATTCGTAGTCAAACGCCATGCCACTATGAATGTACAAAGGATGATACCAAGTGAAACAGCAAACCTAAAAAAATGGACGTGGTGCTACTGTAGACCTTATATTCTGCACTAAGAATGTAATTCTGAATTAAAAAAAGTCTTAATGAAACTAACTAAGTTTGATTTGGTCAATGGTTAAAAGGATTTTCAAATATTACAGCAAACTAGGTGCGAAGCGTTTAGAGGTGAGTACAATGAATGAACGCAGAAAAGACTGAAAAAATCGCAACGGTCGAATTGAAAACATACTCTTAAAAACCAGAAATGAAGAGAAAGACCAGAGTTTCTGTATGTCGTTTATTTTTCTTGTTTATCAGAGAAAGATATCGAAAGAAATTTCTACCAAAGTTCAAAAAGTTAGCTACTTCCATCGGTAATGTGAACCCTATTTTCGTACTTTTAAGCACCGACGGAAAGTGTGGAACATTCATGAAACTAAATTTCCTTTCGGCTTTGCCAGAGGCTACCGTCTCGCGTCTCGGCTTCTTTGTGCTTCATCTCTTAGTGCTTCATAAATCATTTAACAATCAACTATGAATCCGTTGTTAGCTAGCAAGATTGGCAGGTGGTTCTAGCTTCCATTTGAGGAAAAGCCCAATTTTCAAAAACTCAAGCATGCAGTTTTCCTGCTGCTAGCCTCAAAATTCAGCATCCGCTATAGTTAAACTGTTCATCCTTTTGTTTTTCGTGATCTACAAAATGCGCCCCATCGAAATTGCCCGTGGCTTTTCATTCAGTTTGCGTTGTTTTTGTGAACAATTTTACTGCTCTTTAAAGGGAAAAGCCTCTGATTATGTTATCCTGGCGTTGAGTTACAAGCTATCAGGAGTAGGAATTGAACATTGCTGCTATTGTTTTATACTTTTCTGCCTCTAGTGTTGTAATCATGATTAACTGATAGCCAATCGAATACACTACGAATAACCCGCCTATAAATTCGTCTCCAGTCTTCTTTTGGCATGCTATCTTCCTAATTGTCATACAATTGGTCCAAAAGACGAACCGATATTTGTCCCCAAATTAAAGCTCTCCCGTGGGAACTTTAATACCTTTTTGCGCACTTAAAACAAACATGTAATTAAAGAACGGCGTTAATAGGGCAGGAGATAAATTGGAAACTTTTGAGAAAACATTTATGAGAGAGGCAGAGGATTAAACTTAATGGCTTTTGTACAGGTGTCTCTATAGAGCAATTTTTCTAAAAAACATAATTCAAGCAAGATCCGTATCAAAAACTGAAGAGAGTAAACGAAACCATATACAAAAAAGCACAATGGAAGGAAAATAACCTGCCGTGCGTAAGTGCTCTATTTTCGTCTTGTCTTACTTATTAGTAAATTCTTAAAGGGGAAATAGGTGTTTCAGAGAAAGAAATGTAAATACTTGTATCACCTGGGGGCAACTCAAGGAAGGTTTAAAAAAACCATGACATACTACGCCAGTTTTCCCACTCGTTTACCCATTTTCAAATGTTTAGATCTTAAGTTCTGACTTACTTAAATCTGAGGTGTTCGCAACTTAGTCGATTTTTCAAACAACTATTCTGACATGATCCATTGCTGTCTAAGGTAACGTTTATATCTTCTTCATCTTATTTACTTTGCATAAGGAAAGAACTCGGAGGGATTCAGATCTCTTTTTCTGATCCGATCGCTCGACAAACCGCCAATAAGCCGAATTGGTGCTGCCATTTGCAATAAGGCAAGTACGATTTTTACTTCAGTTCATTGTATTTGTAATTTTAAGGGTTACTGTTCGCAAAGCTATTGTTAAATCCTATTGTTTAATTTCAAGGAAACTCGGTGACGAATTAATTGTCCATCTAGAAAACTGGAGCCTGAATTCTTCAGAATTGTCATTTTTAAGTCATGTAAACGATCAACATCCTTTGTTAACTTTTGTGTTAAATACTTTTTTATTTTACGACTATTATTTAACTAGATTATTTGAACCGCGTTTCATTTTTTTAAAATACATTTTCTCTAACTCTAAACCGCTCATACGAGACTCAGCCAAGAATTATTTACCACATTAGTTTACTTCTCCTTTTGTTCTTTCAAATAGTCAACTAATTCCTCCAGGTAGTTACAAAAAGAAGAAAAAAATAATACATCCTGTTACTATAGCGTGTTATTGGCTCAACTAGGTGCTCTGAAGTCCAGCTGTAGTTTTAAAAACTACGAAGTCACGAAATAATTTTGAGAGTAAATAAGCTCCTCAACAGGAACATTTTGGAAATAATTTTGCTTCATGCAGTGATCTTTCACGGTTAAGACAACTCTTGCATGGAATAGGAGTGAACTGAAATAGGCTTCATACACGACAAGGAATTTTCCACGGAAATTGCTTTTCACTTATGCTGTGGTTAATTATAGCTATGGCAACAAAGGAATGAGGGGACGCCTAACAAACTATGAGATTTAGGAAAAACTTCTCTTTACTAAAAAAAAAGCTTTGTTAAACGTAAAGCAAAAAGGAGAAAAACAAAAACACAAATGAACAGAACACCACCCCTCCGCCCTCCTTATGTCATTACTGTCATCAGCGGCGCTCCCTGCTGTTAGCTTGAAATTGAGACTATGAAAAGCTTTTGGGAAAACAAATTTCGCCATGGGTGTAGATTCACTTGGCGTAGCAATCTACAGTCTGAGTTCAAGTAGTTAAAATTTCAGAATATCATATTTTCCAGAAATTTCCATGATTCTGCAATTCACAGAATTATGAACTAAAAGATGATACAGAAGAATTTTATGCTACTGTGCTTCACCGGAAAAAAAGATTTTTCACCACATAATCTATTTAGCTGGTAGAAACAAAGAAATATTAAGCAACACTTATTTGATCCTGTTAATAACAAAAAGTTTCGATGACTATCAGTCTTGCCTTCACAGGCCTCC